GCGAGGGCGGGAGGGTGTGTGTGCGCGCGTGTGAGCAGGGGTGCCAGCGGGGCTGCAGCGGAGGCACTTTGGAAGAATGACTCTGGAGTCCATCATGGCGTGCTGCCTGAGCGAGGAGGCCAAGGAAGCCCGGAGGATCAACGACGAGATCGAGCGGCAGCTCCGCAGGGACAAGCGGGACGCCCGCCGGGAGCTCAAGCTGCTGCTGCTTGGTGAGTGTGGCCCGACCTGGCACCCTGTCTCTGTGTCCCCGCCCGCCGCCCTCTGCCCCTTGGGACTGCTGTCCTCGGCGCCCCTCGGCGTCAGTGGCTCACCCCTGTCCTCCTTGGGCACGCGAGCGCGCCCCTGGTCACCACTGGCACCCGCGCGGGCGCGCGCGTACACACACTCTCTCACACACACACACACACACACACACACGCACGCGCGCGCGCACACGCAGCACTCTTCTCTGCTGGGTGCCTTGGCGTGTGCTTTTTGTTTTCCCTGAGGGTTGTGCACTTGGGGTGCGCGTTTATCTACTGTGCATCTGTTAAATGGAAAATCACTTCACCCGAGAGGCTTGGGGTTGGAGGGTGGGCAGGCGTCGAGGCGCCCCGTGGGGTGGTGGCGTGGGGAGCTGGGCATGTGTGGCCCCGAGCATGGCGAGTGGAACCGGGACACACTGGGAGATGGTGTGCGGTGGGGTGGCGTGCGCATCCATTATCCGTGCATTTAAGGGCTGGAGAGAGTGGAGGAACGGTGGGCTGACTCGCGACTGGGTTCTCCCCAGAGGCATGAGAAGGAGCCCTGTGCCAGACCTTCCAAAGAAATAGGGTTTGTGTATTGGGGTGGGGACACAGGCCCAAATGTCACAGAAGTGCTAACCTTTAGTCTACAGAGCATCTGTAGAAGGGACCCCTGAGGAATTACCTTGGCCAGTGGATGATGGCGTGCATCTCGCCTGCACCATCCTTGGGGTGAAGATGAGGGATAGGGGAGCGTCGTGCTGTGTAGTTGTTGACAGCAGCCGGTACCTTTTGTTTAATAAGGCATCCCAGATGGAGGCCTGAATTCACAGTTGTTACTACTGAAAACCCTTGTAAGCCTCCCAGTTACTCTTGTGGAAACAGATAGAAACCTTTTGTTTAAAATGGGCATCGCTTTTATATATTTTTGATAGCTATGCTACAAGGAAAATGGGAAGCCTGTAGCAAAAATTTCCCTTGAATCTGCAAAACAACCGAACATTCTGGTTGAGCACCAAGTTAGCAAGAAAATACCAATTCTCAGATAGGAATTCTATTGATTATTATCTCCGAGCGTCAGGGTTCAGTAGGAGCCAGCATAACTTCCCTCTGAGCTATTGTGGTGGGAAGTGCACACAGCTTAGCAGTCACAGGCCTGACAAAAATGTCTGCGCTTGTGTTCTGGCTTTTTGCGTGGATAATAAATTTGTTTCTGTAAGAAAAGGATATAACATTTTCTTATCTTAAGTATTTCTTCTGTTTCAAAGAACCAGTTCCCTTTGGGACCACACTGTTAAATATTGGATCATTTACAAGAAGGAACACCTATAATGGTTACAGATAGTTACAAATGGTTAATTCACATGCCATGTTTTGTGTCTTCCTTTTGAAGGCTGGTTAGATAAGTGTGCACATGTTTATAAAGGACAATTTAGCCCTGGAAAGATGTGGCCTTCAGGGAATGAAGTGAGAGGACTGGAAAACGGCAATAGGAAAATGAAGATTTTATAAAAATTGTTAATTTCAGACTACTTCTAATGGCTGACACTGTTAGATGTTCAGTGTTCTCTGAATTCTAAAGATGAGAGGAGAAAAGAGGGAAGTTGTGTATAGTGTTAAGGGCTTGATGAGAGAAAGAAGCATGTGTATTAGAGAGGATGTCTTAAGAATGGTTTTTCTTTTTCTTCCGCCCTGTGTATAGTCTTTGTTTCTGGTTAGCTAAGAACAGGGTGTTTGAGGTCTTTCAGGCCAGCCCTGCTGCCTGAAATTGACAGCAGCTCTGGGGTTCTCTGACTTAGAGTTTGGGGTTTGCCCAGAGGCCTCAGTTTGAATGTCTAGGAGGAGGGTTTCTGTGAAAGTAAGCATCATACATGGATACTTAGTTATATACGATATATTTAAATATCATGCTGCACTTTAAACGTTGAACTTGGAGATGATTGTCCGAGGGAAAAAATAGAAAGCTACCCAATTTTCTGGCTTCAGTGGTGTTGGTGAGGAGAACTTTGCTTCCCCATCTATATTTGAGTAGAGCTAAATTGAACCCCTCCCTCTGTATATGATCAGCTAGAAGTAGTAGGGAAAGAGGACCTGAATTTAGAACCCACATTTATATGTACTAGATAGAAACAATACCGCTTTCTCTGGGAAACATGCTTCTCTAGACATCATGTAAGAATTGCTCCAGCTCCAGGTAAAATGCTTTTGTTTTCATAATGTGTACGTGCTGCAATATCTCCACAGCAGACCTAGTCATTCATAATATATGCTCAACACAGCTTTGTGTGTGAGTTTGTACATATGATTGCACAGTTGTTTGTGTCCAGGAGGGAAATGGTGGTTGGCTGAGGGACACGGAAAGGTGCTGGGGAGGAGTTGTATTTGAGGAACTCCTGATATGGACTCTGGATGGTGGTGCGTAGTCTCAGTCTTCCGATCCTCCATTCATTTAAACGGCCCTGAGCTGCAGGGGTTTGCCGTTTGAACCCTTTAGAGACTTACTAATGTCTTTAGCCAGTTGGTGGAAATGGAAGAATCACTGTCATATTCATAGATAGTAAATTTTAGTTTCAAGGCATGACGCCATCTTAATGGATTTGTTTGACAGGGTTAAAAGGCTCCTGTATTTATTGACAGTGTTTATGAATTTTGTTTGGTTTACATACTAGCAGTATTGAGAAGTTAGAAGTACTGTTTGTAACACTGAGAAATTAGAAAAGAATAATAGTGGTTACAAGTCTAGAGGAAAATGTTAACAGTGGGCTGTTTTGATTCATATCTAGTAATTGTGCCAATGTGTACCGAATTTGTTCTATAGTGCTAAATGGTTTTTATTTTCATTCTCTATATTTGCTATTGTTTATTGAATCCTGGGTCTTACACCATAAGAACATCATAGTAAACTCTTGAGTAAATGAAAGAGAACAAAATAAGTATTCAGAATTAACTCAGTAGTAGATTCTAGGATTCAGTGATTAAGTGCTGGCTTTTAGAAATTATGGGAAATTGCAGGTAGGACATTTTTAATTTGAGAGGTATAAATTTTTACTGGAAACCTTGTATTAAAAGAAGTCCTGGATGGCTCTCAGTACTCTGGTAAGTTGAGTCTGTGTAGCGAATTCATTCATACACTAGATCTCCATGAGAGTGCCCTTCTACTGCCCCTGCAGTTAGTACTGTGGAGTTAATTGTAGTAACAGTGAGCATGCTGATGGGGGAAGGGTAGGTATGTTGACAGGGCGAGGATGGGCATGCTGACAGGGGAAGGGTGGGCATGCTGGTGGAGGAAGGGTGGGCATGCTGGTGGAGGAAGGGTGGGCATGCTGGTGGAGGAAGGGTGGGCAGTGTGATGAGGGAAGGGTGGGTATGCTCATAGGGAAAGAGTGGGCATTATGATGGGGAAGGGTGGGCATGCAGGTGGGGGAAGGATGGGCTTTTTGACGCAGGAAGGTGGATATGATGATAACCCGAATTAACCTAAAGGAAAGTTGCTTTCTAGGGTGTTTACTCAGAACTGTAGACTAAGAACAGCCCTAATAACAGCTTCTCCCTGGAAATAACAAAATACAGTGTTTATGAGGCGACATTAAGAACCAGCCAGTTTTAATTTTTGTTTCCCCTCTAGTGCCCAGGTGTTGACTGTATGTAGTACTAGATATCAGGATTTATTGAGCACATTTTTAGACAAATAACATGTGTATGATACATATTTGGCAAATCAACCCCACAGTTTACACATGTGTTGAATGATGGCATGTTGTATGATAAAAGATAAGGTAGGATTATTTCTTCTTTTTTTTTTTTT